TTCTCGAGCGATTGGGCGGCGCCCAGTTCTTCTCTAAGCTGGATCTCAAGTCAGGGTACCACCAACTCGAGATTCGCAAGGAGGATCGCTACAAGACCGCGTTCAAGACACGGTATGGGTATTTCGAATGGTTGGTCATGCCATTTGGCCTTACGAATGCCCCAACCACTTTCCAAGCGGCTATGACGACGGAGTTCCGACACATGCTGGATCGTTTCGTACTTATCTACCTCGACGACATTCTGGTTTACAGCCGGAGTCTGGACGAGCATGTGGAACACCTGCGCACCGTTTTGGAGCGGCTACGACAGGTCAAGTACAAAGCAAACCGCGACAAGTGCGAGTTCGCACAGCAGGAGCTGGAGTACTTGGGACACTTTGTGACGCCGCAAGGCATCCGTCCGCTTGCGGATAAGATCGAGGCCCTACGAGTATGGCCCGAGCCCACCAACACCACAAACGTTCGTTCAGCCATGGGGTTGGCGGGCTACTATCAGCGATTCATCACCGGATACTCCAGGATTGCTGCACCTATGACGAGGTTACAGTCGCCAAAGGTGCCATTCGTATTCGATGACGACGCACGCCGGTCATTCCAAGCACTTAAGACGACTATGCTCATGGCACCCGTCCTTAGCATCTATGACCCCACCCTGCCGACGCGAGTGACTACGGACGCTTCCGGCTATGGCATTGGGGCAGTCTTGGAACAGCACGATGGCGACGACTGGCACCCTGTGGAGTATTTCAGCCACAAAGTGCCTCCCATCAACTCGCTTGATGATGCAAGGAAGGAGCTGCTCGCATTCGTGATGGCTCTCAAGTGCTAGCGGCACTTCCTCCTTGGGCGTCGTAGGTTCACATGGATCACAGACAACAATCCATTGACCTACTACAAGACGCAGGACACGGTGAGCAGCACGATCAGACGATGGATGTACTTCATCGACCAATTTGACTTCACACCGAAACATGTCCCCGGCCTCTCCAATCACGCAGCAGATGCACTCTCGCGAAGACCTGATCTTTGCGCGATGACACATCATGCCTTCGCGTTCGACGAGGAGCTTCAACGACACTTCATTCGGGCATATCAATCTGATCCGGACTTCGGCACGCTCTATGCACAACTATCTTCGGATCACCCGCCGGCCAGCCATTACCACATTGCCGACGGGTACTTGCTCCTCCACTCGAGAGGCAAGGACTTACTATGTGTCCCACGCGACTGTCGTCTTCGGACTCGCCTCCTCGGCGAGTATCATGATTCATGACTTGCCGGCCATTTCGGAGTCAACCGCACTATTGCACGACTTCGACAGCGATTCCGATGGCCCGACCTCATTACCGATGTCACTCGGTATTGCAACTCTTGCGAAGTTTGCCGACGCAGCAAGCCCCGCAACCGCAATCCCTACGGCGAGTTACACCCGATGCCTATCCCACAGGAACCCGGTCTCTCCATTGCCATGGACGTCACCGGTCCG